CACAAGGCCAGAAATAATTAAACTTAGCTAACCACAATCACTGACCCAAATATACCATAATATTCCTTGCACCAAAACAACACATTCTTACTTACCATTCTTACTACATCTACCATAATACCCCAGAATCTCCATGAAGTCCTTATTCGTCCCCATATGTACAATTCTTGTCTGTGGGGGTGGGGAATAAAACAACCATTTTAAAATCTCAACTCCCAAATGTGTATTTACAATATGAGATAAGCGAAAAACTCATCTGAATAATTACGATGAAAGTATTTATAAAATAGGCACAGAGGGGCAACTTTACGGCAGTTGGAAAAGTGACTGAAGCCGAGCTGTCAGATCAGGACCAATAATATTGCTGATTCTTTTTTGTAACTTATGAAGGATCTCAAGGTAAATAACAGGGACACCGGGCCATATGTGGCTGATAAAACATTATATGTCTACGGCTACATATGCAATACACAATAGCAAACAAATATGGCCTCTTACTAAAACGGAAACTCAAATAAAGACTATGTTTCCTGCCACCCAAATAAAACATTTAATACGTCATTTTTAAAGTGAGTACCCACACTAGTTTATCTATGGATATGTTCAAAATTACCGAATTTTATCACTTTAGGTATATTTCAAGAACTTAGATAATTAAAGCGTTGTTTCGTAAATTTGGTAGCATAGAAATTGTGAGTTCAATCCTTAGGCTGGGTAGTACAGTCTCAGTGGGAGAAAAACTAGTAATAGCTGAGTAGTACTAAGTGGTGATCCTGGCTCTTTTTGCAGTTCCACCAGCCATTTTCTTAGGCGTTTCGAGACTATTCCAAACGCTCCGATAAAGATTGGCACAACTGTCACTTTCATGTTACACAATTTCCTCAGATCTGGGGTAAAGTCGAGATACTTATGGCTCATCATCATCATTATCATCTTCTGTTGTTGTTGTTGTTGTTTTCTTCTTCTTCTTCTTCTTCTTCTTCTTCTTCTTCTTCTTCTTCTTCTAATTAATAGATCCTGTCTCCTGACCTGGAATGGGTGATCTGTTTAAAACTCAAAACCTCAGATGATTTTATACATTTCATTCTCTAGCACCGATTCTAGTTTTTTTTTTTTTTTTTAGCCATTTCACCTCAAGTACTAAGACGCAAGTGATTACTGGGAGTGAAAATAGTGTAAGATTTAAGTGATGAGAAAGGACAATAAAAGAACGGTTTTCAGAAGACAGAAGATGGTGATTGGCGTTGAATTTAATTTTTTGAAGATTGTAGGATTGAAAGGAAGCAAGAAACCGGGCGAGGGTTCCACAGGCAAGAAGTACGACAAAAGAAACTATTAGAAAATACGGTTGTATCTAGCTAGTTAAACAGTAAAACCGTGAGACAGTGTTGCTAATCTGGTCAGTAAGTTATGTGTCATGCATAATACACGCTTCGGCGATCATGGCTGACGAGGCAGATTTTTCCCGCAGTAGGTTGCCATTTCTTTCTGTGGTAGACCAGTTGCCATCCAAGGCTATAGAACCCGGTCTGTCCTGCTATATACCCAAAGCTAAGGGGGAGAAGAAGAGAATTCATACCTTTCCCAAGAGTATTAGCACGTAAGTGAATGTAATGGATTCGACTGGAATTCGAACTCGGCTCTCTAGTTGTACGTTTAAATTCATGCAGCCCAGGTATCAACGATGAGAACTATTAAGAACAATTGCCACAGAAGTATTTATTTTAAAAAAAAAATAGACAGCGGGAAGCCACGTTACGGCTGTGGGAAAGTGACTGACGCCGAGATGCCAGGTCAGGATCGATTACATTGCAGATTGTTATTTGAATTATGCCAAGAAACTCGAGATACATAGCAGGAGAACCAGATCAGATATGACAGCAATATTCGATGCAAGGGTGAATGGTAGATTAATAAATGTTCAAGATGGGTGATAACGAGGAAAAGATTGCGCGTATAGCATATATAGTATTGTATAATTAAAATGCTGTCACTTGCACAGATCCCAGCGGATCACCGTTCTCAACCAATCATGCCTATTCTTATATTCTTTCTAGGCAATTTTACTACATTCGCTTATTATGCTTAACCATATTATAATTCTGCTTGTGTTTTTGTTCCTCGGCACATAAGTTCCATCCTGCGATTACCCCAGAAAAACAAGGACATTCCTGTTTGTGAGAATAGACAGAAGAAAAGCGTTATTTGGGTTTAGCCATAGATAGATAGATAGATAGATAGATAGATAGATAGATACAGGGGTTGGACAAAATAATTAGAACAGTAACAAAATACACTCCTATATTTCAAAGGCCTATTATATTAAGAACTTTAGCTAAAACTTCGTAATTGCAGGTTATATCTATTGTAAATACGTTTATTTATCTAATTTACTGTCTTTGTCTTATTTATTTTTAGAATTTAGTAAAATTTAAGCTAAATGCGCGACCTCTCTAAGTTCGAAAAAGAGCAAATTGTTGAAGCTCGCATGGCAGGAGCCTCGATCACTAAGGTTGCTGAACTGTTTGGTTTTTCAAGAGCTACCATATCAAGAACACTGATGCAATTCGAGAAACAGGGCAAGACCTCTAGCAACCGTAGCAATTCGGGCCGGACTTGCAAACTTACTGACAGGGACTGACGTCCATTGAAACGCAATGTGGCAAAAAAATCATCGGCCAAATGCAGCCAAAGTGACTGCTGAGTTGAATAACCATCTGAATAGTTCAGTTTCTACTAAAACTGTTCACCGTGAGCTCCACAAGGCTGCATATCATGGAAGAGCCGCTGTGAGGAAACCTCTTCTCTCCACTCACAACATTCAAAAGAGGTAGAAGTGGTGCAGAGATCACAATGCCTGGTCTGCAGACTAATGGAAGCAAGTCATATTCTCAAACAAGTCCAGTTTTTCTCTTTTCCAAACTTCAGGGCGAGTTTATGTGTGGAGGCAGCCCAAAGAAGCTTACAACACTGACTTCCTTCTTCCAACAGTGAAGCATGGAGGTGGATCAGTGATAGTTTGGGCAGCCATATCATGGAAATGTCTCAGTCCAATAGTTGCCCTGCAGGGTAGAATCAACAGCAAAGATTACCTGAACATTTTGGGAGATCATGTTCATCCAATGGCCAAGACTTTATTCCCTGATGGTGACTGCATCTTCCAAGACGATAATGCTCCAATACATACTGTTCAAGTGCTTAAGAATTGGTATGAAGAGCATGAAAGTGAGCTAGAACACATGGAGTGGCCTCCCCAATCTCAAGATATCAATATTATTAAAGATTTGTGGTGAATTCTGGAGCAATAAGTTAGGAGCCGCTATCCTCCACCATCGTGTCGTAAAGAGCTGGAGAAGGTTTTAATAAAAGAATGACTGAAAATTCCTCTGGATGAAGTCAGGAAGCTGTATGATTCCATTCCTAGACGTATTAAAGCTGTCTGTGAGGCTAAAGGAGGACCAACTCCATATTAATTATTTTGTCCAACCCCTGTAGATGAAAACGATGATAGATGAAAACAGTGATAGATAGATAAAAATAGTGATACATTAAACAGTTATAGATAGATAGATACATACATACATGCACACATAGACGAAAGCAGTGATAGATAGATAGATAGATAGATAGATAGATAGACGAAAACAGAGATAGATAGATAGATAGATAGATAGATAGATAGATAGATAGATAAGGCGATAGCACTTTCGTGTGTTTAAAGTTCGCTTCAGTGAAATAGAAAACGTTGTCAGTTTTTAATCTTTTCATTCGTATCCTCATACTCCTTTAAACAATTGCCTGCATTCATAACTTATGACTGTTATTACAATGTTTTGTTAAAGTTTTTAAGCTCAAATAGTTTACGAGACAACAGGGCAATTTCAATGAGTATCTTATTGGCGTGGAACTCGCAAGGAGTTTATTCAGTTATTAACTTAAGAACTGTGAGTCATTGGAAATTTAAATGAAGAAAACCGTGAAATTTCCCCGCATATTCTTCTTATTTATTATCTGTATTTCAACGCAATTTACATTTGCTATTCTCCGCTGTGCTTTTTATCAGGGGCCATCAATAGAGTTTTTGTTCTCATGGCGTTGTTTTGGACCACTATTAAGAGCGACCCATTGTTTCTCTTAAAGGTTTCTTCTATGTATTAGGAGCTACAAAAGACAGCAAATTGTAGAGAGCCATGAGGTGTCACGCCACTAATAATAATAATAATATTTATGTCGATCTATCCGCTATTCCCTGAATTTGTTTTCTCAATTGCCCATATATCTATTTATTGCTTTTATCATTTCCTTTAAGTCTTCCATTTTCTTGTTTTGTTTATTATCATTCTCTCGCCGACATCTTACTTTAATTATAATTATTTTTATTTTCTTCCTTAAATTTATTCTTTTATTCTTTTCTTTCGCGTGATTTTTATTCTCCCTCTTAAGTCTTCTTCCGTTATGGTGAATACTGCTGTCTCATGTATTGTGTTTCTAACGAGTGCTACTGAATGGAACCAAGGGGCGCAGATATGTGTTTTGGCATTACCGATTTGGCGCCGAAGAGTCACAACGAACAACATACCGAAAGAATCCACCACTGTTTCATTGAAGATTCAAATGAAGAGTTTAAAGAAGTTTATAATAATTTGTAGTATAGGTTAGTTGATTAATCCTTTTAGGTTCAAAGTGTTACTTGACGTGCAAACTCTTAAAATAACCCCCGAAAAGTATTTTTCTTTTCTTTCTTTTCGTAATGCTGGCCAAACTGATTAGAGCCCAAATGGATTTGAAGCCTGAGAATTAGTGTTTTCTAACTTATGTTCTTTCTTCATATTATTATTACTATCACTCCTCGTCTTGTCCTTAATATCATTGATTTTATTATCTTCATTACAAGGAGTGCTTTCTTGGTTAATACAATGACTTCTCCTCCATTTCCTCTTTCTTCTCCTTTGTCGTGATGCGCATATAAGTGTGTAGTTTTATGTACGTGGGTACTTTGCGCTTGGCAATGTTTTTTCTCTCCTAAATAGATATCAAAAATTTAAAACAAACAACAGTAAACAACTGAATGTCCTTACCTGAGACAAGGACACTAAGATAATTACATTTTATTTTATATATTATTTCATAATTGTATGATTACTATTATCAGCGTGTTGAGAGAAGCCTGATAAAATATTCATTAACAATCTTTTTTTTTCTTTTCCCCCCGCTCTATGTTTTTCGGACAATTAAAGCCGAGGAGAAACTGGTTTGAATAATATATAAGATTATCTCCTCAATGAGATTGTGGTTGGACATAGTAAAATGATAAAGTAAAGTTTAATGTTACAGGTTTGAATAGTGGACTTTGATGGTTATGTGCGGGATTCTCGTAAGATTGCACATAAGCTTTACATTTCTAAATCTATTCAACGTCTGTAGACAGACTGAACATGTAGGCAAAGAGACAGATGAAATTTCCAGGACACATGATGAGGAAAGAGGGCTTGGAAAATTTGATACTCACAGGACATAATGAAGGCAAGAGGGATAGAGGAAAGCAGCAAATAAACTGCCTAACGAGCTTGTGTAAATGGTTGACAGAACAGAGATAACGAAAAGAGAAACTTTGCTATAAAAGTCAGGAAGTTGTGGAGAGCCATGATCGCTTACTTACTGAAGAAGAAAAGTTGCGTAAAAAGTCTTTTTTTTAAATATGTCCTCATAAAAAGATTTATTTTATAATCTTAGATGAATTATTGTATTTTTACTTTTATTCATATTTCAAAATACAAGTATTATCCTAGCTCTAAAAATGCCGTTGCTTCAAAGTTACATAGAGGTTGTAAAAATTTTTTGTAGATTCCTCACAACGTACCAGCAACGTTATAAGATATCGTTGTAATTAAGTTGCCTTGTTACATTGCATTAACAGAAAATGGACAATAAAAAATAGAATTAAAAATGTCAACCAATTGAAAACCTAACGACATTTTCACTTTTGTTTACAAATACTTGTTGCAAAATAAAATCCTTACATTTGCCTTAATAAAGTCCATCAGAGGACGAAACGCGCCGATAAAGAAAAGTTTTTCTTTTATCCTTATTTATAACGCCTTTATCATATATATTTTGTGCGTGTGTGTGTGTGTGTGTATGTGTAGATTTAATAGGTAGTTTGATAAAATTTGACGGATACAAAGACAATATAATGATAATAATGGCAATAACAGTGATGATATTTATTATATATTAGCCTTTTCATTAAACTGAAGCCCGAAGAGAAAGATTTTAAAGTCGGAATTTTGGGACACGCCTGTATTCTTTTTTCAACGAAACGCGGAAAAAACCAAAGAAATTGGGGCATATATATATATATATATATATATATATATATATATATATATATATATATATATATATATATATATATATATACACGCTAAGCAAAGAGATTGAATCTATTACTTCCATTGTTTTTAATAAATAATTATTTCTATTGAAATGTATAATAGCTGAATTAAGCATTATATTAGGTCCGTGTAAAAGTTCACGGCGTCCTCTTTTTTTGCTTTTTCTTCCTGAAAACTACTCTGTTTTTTTATGAAAAATCACTGGAAAGATTTCGCACAGCTAATCTATGCAGTTTGCTCTCTTTCGTATTTTTAATATTTAATTATACAATGAAATCTTATCATAACAAACAGTTTTTATGTTATGAATGGGAGAAATAATCTGTATTCTTGCCTGTTGATTTATCTCCCTTAGATCTTACTTTTCAATTAGCTTTTGTTTGGATAAGATTTTGATTGGTTGATCAACATAAGCCAAGCTCATACGCATTAGGTTAAAAGCAACACTGAGCAGGACACACTTAAGAAACTTGTTATCGCCTTTTGTCTTCTTAGCAATAAATGCAGATTTAAGAATGTCGATGACGGTCAAATATCACTATCAGTCACTGTTGTCATGCGTTCTTATCAAAACAAACTTATCGACTTTTGGTCCAATAGTAACTTTTGAGACATTTTCAATATGGTTAAGGAGGAATTGAGTGAGAAATAAGCAAAAGGATGATGACTTGACCAGAAAGATCACTGATTATAAAGAACAAGGCATGTTACTAAAGGCAAGGGCCTTTTTCTTCTGTTTTACAAAGATCATTGTTCTTGTCTGGTCATTATAATAAAGCTAATCACTTTCATTTTGGCATGACCTTGGCTCATTAAGCTCGAAGCCATTGTTTGTGAGGAGGATTTTTTACTGATAAATTCCAATCTATCGAGGTTCAAGATTTGTCTGATATTTTTACCTTCTTTGTAACGTTTATGTCTTTTCTTTTCTTCAGTTTATTAAGAATTTGATCTGCCTTTTTAAAGGTATTTCTTTCATTCGTCCATTTTCCTTTTTTTATCTTATTCTTTTCATTTCTATTTTTTTCATTCTTTCTTTTCGTGTTCTTTTTTGTTCTTTTTCTTTTAGTTTAATCTTCTTTTGTGTTTTAAGAATTTGCATTTTAAAGATTCTTTTTTTTTTGTTGTCCACTTCTTTCTTTCCATGACATTTTCTTTCTTCCTTTCTTTCTTTCTTTCTTTCTTTCTTTCTTTCTGTTTTTCCACTTCTTTCTTTCCGTAACTTTTTCTATCTTTTTCTTTCTTTCATTCTTTTCTTTCGTCATTTTTATTCATTCTTTCTTTCTTTCTTTCTTTCTTTCTTTCTTTCTTTCTTTCTTTCTTTCGTTCGTTATTTTTCTTTGTTTATTCTTTCCTTTTTTCCTCTTCTTTCTTTCCGTAAGTTTTTCTTTTTCTCTTTCTTTCTTTCGTTATTTTTTCTTTGTTTATTCTTTCTTTTTTTCACTTCTTTCTTTCCGTAACTTTTCCTTTCTTTCTTTCTTTCTTTTTTTCTTTCTTTCTTTCTTTCTTTATTTATTTATTTATTTATTTACTTATTTATTTATTTATTTATTTATTTTATTTCATTATTTTTTGTTTATTCTTTCTTTTTCCACTTCTTTCTTTCCGACACTTTTTCTTTTTTCTTTCTTTTTTTTCTTTTCTTTTCTTATTTTTTCTTTGTTTATTTTTTTCACTTCATTCTTTCCTTAACTTTTTCTATCCTTTTCTTTCTTTCTTTCGTTATTTTTCTTTATTTATTCTTCTATCATAAAACTTTGATCTACCTGATCCGAGGAATGACACTTCCCTCTGAATAGCAAGATATTGTTATCCTATGGAATTAGTGGCATTATAAAAAAGAAAAGAACCCCCACCCCCAGAAAAAACAAGAAAGAAAAAGAAAAAAAAACAGTCTATGCGACAGTACAGACAATGTTCTGCTGGAGTGTGAGGAACACTATGTCCTACCATTTATTTAGAAATTATTTTGGTAGCTTCCAACTATCTTATCATGGACACCCTTTTCAAAGCCGAAGTTTTCTACGATAAAAGTGGCGACATTCAATAGAACCAAGCACTCGGGCGCAGTTAATGAGTTGTTTTCAGAAACATAAAAAAGGTTTAGCGATTTTGGCCGGAAAACCAAACTCTCCGAATCTCAATTTTATTGAGCACTTACAGGAGCTTCAGCTCGGATCATGATACCACATCAAAGAGGAAACGTTTAGAGAACTTGTAGTGTCCATATCTGACGGATTAAGAACTGTTTTGCGAGTAGCGAGTAACCTCATTGGGAAGGTGATTACAAGGATTTGACTTACAATATATAAAGGATCGGATTATACTTTAGGTTAGTATAGACAACAGCCTAGGACCAAGGGACGGATTATCCTTTAGGCTAGTATAGGCTCCATCCTAGTGCCCAGGGCCGGGTTATTCTTTAGGCTAATATAGACTACAGCCTAGGACCCAGGGACGGATTATTCTTTAGGCTAGTATAGGCTGCATCCTAGGGCCCAGAGCTGGATTATTCTTTAGTTTAGTATAGACTACAGCCTAGGGCCAAGGGACGGATTATCCTTTAGGTTAGTATAGACTACAACCTAGGGCCCAGGAACGGAACATCCTTTAGGCTAGTATAGGCGGAATCCTAAGGCCCAAGGATTATCCTAAAGGATAATCCGGCCCTGGGCCCTAGGATACAGTTACAATCGACAAAATCAAAAACAAACAACGCACTTGCACGAAATTAGAATTTACCCATCGCACTAAATACACACACACACACACACAAACACACACACACACACACACACACACACACACATATATATAAGGTAGTTTTTAAGGCGCGGGTAATTTTCCTAGTACACCACACACACACACACACACACACACACACACACACACACACACACACACACACACACACATATATATATATATACACACACACACACACACACACACACACACACACACACACACACACACACACATATATATATATATATATATATAACAGAATATAGAATAAGCAGAATAAACTAAGGTGAATGGAAGATGCATAGCACATACCTTACCTATACAAGACCTGCAAAAAAACCAAAAAACCTAGAAAAAAAAATCAACAGGGCTCAATGACTGCTATAGAATTAAGAAACACGAAAGAGGAAACCAAAAAATGACAGTGCCGTCGCAATAACAACAACCAGGAATCCGTTTGAAGACATCGAACTTGGAATAACGGTTACAGCTCGGTGTCTCTAGACGGATTCTTGCTTGTCGTTATTGTTATATCGTTATATCTATCTATCTATCTATCTATCTATCTATCTATCTATCTATCTATCTCAGTTCAACCATATCTATCTATCTGTCTATCTGTCTGTCTATCTATCTATCTATCTATCTATCTATCTATCCGGGATTAATACAAATAAAATTTTGTTACTTAGCTAACTGATGCTATATTCAGCACCTCGACTCTGGAGTTTCGTAGACGCACCGTTTAGTAATCATTCTGTCTAATCGTCAGGATGGTTCGGTTGACAAAGTGAAAAAAAAGTTCTCTTGCGACGCATCTCATACCCCAGGACACCATCGGGCTATGCCCACTGCGATTCGACTACACATGCACACGAAGGTGAGGTAACGCTGAAAGTTGTGTGTTTTGTGTATATAATCTAGCCGATCTCATCTAGTTTATGTCTTCACTACCTCTGTCATTAAATAGCCCACAACAGAAGATCCGTCAAGAAAGAGGAAATGCATTAAGAACCTGCATGCCAATTCGCCTTTGGACGATCTAGCGACCAAAAGCACACTCTCTACACTCTCCCGTCCTAGCAAATTGAATTCTCTTTCAACCAAAGTACCTTTTATGAAGTAAATTTAAGTATATTTGCCTTTTATGAAGTAGAGTACTCTCTAGAATAGCATTTGTCAGGTCAAAAGATGGTATCTCGACTGGCATTCGCTGTGGCGTACTTCTTTTATAGCAGTATCCCATTTACATACAATACTACACTTCTCTGAAGTGCCTTTTGTTGATCTTTGATTTCTTCTAATTATTCTTGGAAATCTAAACTGTCTTTCTTGGTGTGTATGTTGAGTTCTTATAATGGATCTAAGGTCTGAGTTCATTTTCCTCTTCTGACTCCTCGTCAGATTTCTAGTCATTAACATCCATAGATTGTTCAGTTTCATTACTGGATTCATTTAGTCCTCATCCTCCCCTTCATGTTCTTCATCTTTAGATTATTCGTTCATTTCTATATCCTTTGGGTTCCATTCTGCTTCTGAATTGATCCGCATGGGCCAGTATATTTTGATCATTTTCCGTGAGTATTGCTGTGATGTATCCTTTCTGTACTACAAAGTTCTCCTTCTGGATTAGATTCTTTGTCTTTTCTGTACCATACACTTTCACATCTTGAAAATAAAATTGTTATGGAAGCTCTAATCTGTCTACCCATTAATGCAAAGGGACTTTATAGTCTGCCATCATGTGGAATTGTGCAATACCTTAACATTAATCTTGGCAAGTAACTCTTAATATTATCATTAGATGAAGAAAATGCTTTTAGTTCCATTTTCACAGTCTGCACCATTCTTTCTGTGATTCCATTCGATTGTGAATGGTAAGATGATGTTTTATACCAATACGCTTTACCCACGAGCACAAACTTTCGCTGGTGCATTATCTAAGACCAAAGTTTTAGGCATCTCATTCCTTAAAAATATTGTTCTTAATATTTGTTTCACAGTGGTAGCTTTTTTGTCAGCAACCTTAATTACTTCAAACCGTCCTGAAAATGAGTCCACTAAAATTAAAATTAACCCCATACCGTTAATACCGGCATGATCCATGTGTATCCAAGCTCATGGTTTTTTTTCTTTAGGCCACGTGTGAATTTTGTTTTGTCGAAAGTTTTTTTTTTATTTCAGCCCATTTTAGACATCTTTTTCTACATCTCGAGAATATCCTGGCCACCACGCTTGTAATTTAAATCTCATTTGTGTCACTTTTATATCACAATGTACATCATCGTCTCCGCCTTCTAGTACTTGTTTTCTTAAACTTTGTAGAGTCATTATAATATCTCCATTGCATAAAATGCTTTTCTCTACTGTTAATTTCTGTCTTGATTCTTTATAGGTTCCTTCTGCTACTGAGCATTTTAATTTCTGTCTGAAATTTCTTTGAATCTTTTGATGGTTTCCATTCGGAGACGATTTAGAGGTAACACTTCCGTTTCAATCCAGTGCAGTATCTTATCGTCTGAATTTTTAGACGTTTTTATTCTGTCTCGAAATTATATAATAGGCCATGAGTTTTATAGCCCATCTTAAAATTCTAGAAGATGTGATTTTTTGTAATTTACTTTCTCTAAAGTTTTGGGATCTGACTTTAACAAAAATTTTCGTCCTAACAAAAAATTTCGAGCTCTTTCTATGCTCTATATTATTGATAATGCTCCTTTCTCAATATTTAGGTAGTTAGTTTCAGCTGACGTTAATTTTCTCGACTGGTACATTATTGGATGACTTTCTTGAGATAAAATTGCGACTACAGGATGTTCACTTGCATCCGTAGTTAATATCAATTCTTTTTTTTTGAGGGGTGGGGCGGAATCAAAGATTTTTGCAATTGCTTTTCTTATTAGTGCTTTTTTAAGAATTCAAAAGGTATATTTTGTCTTTGAGTCTAATTTTGTATTCTTTTTCCGTAATTCTACAAATGGTTCTGTTAGGTCGCTGTATCTAGTTGGTTATTTGCTATACAAATTGTTCAATACCAAAAAGGATTCTAATTCTTTTATATTTTTTGATGTAGATACATACGATATTTTATTTATCAGTTTATTGTGTGGTGACATTCCTTCATTAAATATTTCGTATCCCAGATACGACATTTTGTCGCAACTTAATTCACATTTATCGCCATAACAGAATTTTTTAAATTTGTTTAAAACATGTCCAGTTCTTTTTAATTCCTCTTTCCTGTAAGCACTTATGTTTATATCGTCTTGATATACGATTATAATTTTACCCCGCTCCTCGCCGATAGAACTTTTTTAATTGCCATTTGAAAAATATGGCTTGAAGTTTTAAATCTAAATGGAAGACGAGTCCATCTTATTAAACCTATTGGGGTATTACTTGTAGTGACTTCTTTAATTTTTTCGTCAATTTCTATTTGGTTATATGCCGATTTCAGGTCAATCTTGGCAAAGTATTTTATTCCTGATAATTCATAACTTGCCGTTTCTATGTTAGGCAAGGGGAATGAATCATAGCATATCTGACGATTCACACCTACTTTGTAATCCCCGCATATCCACAAATCACCATTGGGCTTTCGCATAGCAACAATTGGTGAAGCCGAACTGCTACCACCTTGGGTAACTTTCTCTAATATGCCTTATTCTATCATTTTCTTTAGTTTTGCAACTACCATGGGTAGAATGTGAATAGGTATTTTTCGAAATTCAAAATAGTTCGGGTGACCATTTTCTTTTAAACGAATACTTACTTTATATCCTTTCAGTAGTCCTATGTCAGGTTCTTCGGACTTTATACAGTTTATTAATTTCACCGTATCCCCTTTTAAAACATCTATTTTCAGGAGTCCTTGATTTTTTTATACATTTTACAACAGTGGTGAGAATAATCTCAAAACAGTTTTTTGTCTCGAAAGTTCCTTCAAAAGAGCCTAGAGTTTTGTTGACAAATCTATCAAATTGTTTTAAATTAAGATTACTTTTTCTTAATTTGGGTTTACCAATTTTTTCCCAGAAATTCCTTGGAATCAAGGTAACATCGCTCCCCGTGACAACCGACATGGGAAAAGGTATGCCATTCAATTTTACTGTCTCTAATTTTTGTAGGTGTTCTTATCGAATATACTTCTATACTTTCAGTATGAGGGTTTATAATTTCTCTTCTCTTCTGTCTGATTGGAAATGGTCTTTTCTTTTACAGTTTAAATATAATTTTCCTAGGGCTGGACATTTATTTCCGTTTCTTTCGTATGCTTTGTTACAATATTTGAATTTAAATAGGATTTTAGTTGTACTGTATGCTTCCATATTGTTTTTAGAATTATTAAATTAATTCTAATTCCTGCAAGAATTCTACACTTGCTTCTAAATTCATATCATTCGCATGAAGATTTCTAGGATCTTATGTTTGTATGTAAAGTCATACATACCTTCAATTTGTCTTAGAAGGATCAATTCCTCTTCTATAGACATTTCCCTCGAACCCAGTTTTCAAATTCTCAATATCTTGATGCTTATTTCAATCTATGTAAATATTGCATTACGGTTTCATTTGGTTTCTGTCTATTTTCCAGAAATTGTTTTTCCTGCAATAACCAGCATTTTTTGTCGCATGTTTCTGTTTATAATAGTTGAAATATCCTCATATGTTAAGTCTTTCAGTCTTTTGGGGTAATTTCATAATCAGTAATTTAATTCCCCCACCCACTGCTCCGGTGTCTTTCTTGTCTTCCAGTTTCTTTACCCTAGCCAACGCTGTAAAACAAATGGGCTGAGGCTGGTCTTCACTGACTATGCGAAAGCCCAATAGTGATTTTAGGATATGCGGGGATTACAAAGTAGGTGTGACAAGCTAATCCGATTCACGACCCATTCACTCATTACAATTTGCACATTCACCACAAGAAGTCATCTGTCACCAATCAATCCTTCATATACCATAATGCTGCATACTCTCAGGGAACCAACAAAATGCATACCTTGACTTAAAAATTTGACGATTATAAAAATTTGTACATGAAAATCTCAGGATTTACAAGGAGAGGGGAGAGGATGAACCCCAAAACAAACCAAATAAAGATAACTGGTGTTAGTAGGACCCGTTCAACCCTAAAAAAAAGGCCGCTGTTTTTTGCTCTTGGACAAAATCAAGAGGCTCTCTCGCTAAGGGAGAGGGAAAGGAGAAAATATATACGGACATGGCGTGTAAAGAAAGTTGACCCAATCGAGATGAAAGGGGGCCAAAAACAAACTGGGGAAGTTGGGAATCATAACCAAAGATGTAGCCGGGTGCAGGCCAAGAACAACACTTACTCACGTTAAGCAGGTATACAAAGCTTGTCTATCCTAACCAGGGGAGGGCGCCACAGGAATCCACCTCGATGCGAATTAGGCAGACCTAAAAAAAGAAAATCAAGGCTACCCCCGTTTATACGAACCATGCTCGCCTCAGTCACCCATCTTTCGAGAAAGTCTGTCGAAAACAACAGTTTTCTATCAGTTCTAATCTTTATCTTGAGCTGATGCTCAAAGAATCGGATCAGATCCTGATTAGAAAGACGGTTGCCTCGCAAGACTTCCTCCTGTCGCGTCGTCCAAATCACCATTCGGGCCCTGGCTCACAGCGATAGAAACACCATTCGCCTATC